TCAGAAAAGTTTCAGTATTTTGCAGGAGATTCACATGTGAAGCAGCACGAAGAAAAGCTATTCTGTTTTCTAACCTCTTGTGCTAGTAGTTGAAGGAGCAGGCAAACGTGGATGTGGCTTTAAGCTATTCTGCTGAAGCTGGACGCGCAATGGAGAAACAGAGGGCACAGCACGAGAGGCTATTCTCTTTGATGAAACTTTTCCTTTGGTTACGACATAGACCGTGCAGAAATCAGGTGCGGTCTTCGTGATGGTTCCTGGAATATCTGTAGGTTTGTTGAACCTGCAGAGTTTTTAACACCCAATTTTGACATCTGATCCACCATTTCCGCTTAAAAGATTCACAGCGAAACTGGAAAGAGAAAGGATAAAACAAACCTGAGAAAGCCACCTTTTGAGGAAGAACCAACCACCAATACCTCAATGATGACTTGATTTGCATATTCGACTAACGCTTTCCCCACATCAGAATCCTCCAATAACACATCTTTGCAATGTATCTGAACATGTTCCATTTCAAGAAAGCACATGATAAGCATAGGAAGAGACACAGCACAGGTTAATTTGCTTTTGGAGACTCACATCTTTACGTGAACAGAGGCAACGAAAGGGAAGGAACAACTGTTTGTAAGTGCCTTCTGGTTCTACACTCACCAATGAAGAATCACCACTTATTTGGCTAACCTCTGAAAAACAGACACAAACCCCATCAGCTACCGTGATAGGGAAGAAGATACATAAGAACCAGACACACAGGGAAGAAGTAGAAGAAAGGTTTTTTACTGGAAGAGTTTGAGTTAATAGAAGGGTTTGTCGACAAAGAGGAACCCCGGGGCTTGACATGAACGAGGACTACGGTTTGGCCTTTCTGTAACAAATTGTCAACAGCCCATTTCAGAGCACTTTGGCTGGTTTTGTCTCTATCTACCGCCACAGCAACCAATCCATCCGTGCCAAATCCTCCTCCGTCTCTGTCCCTCCTTCCTCCGCTGGTCTTCGCCATCTAAATCTCTCTATTTCTCTTTATATGAATTTCTTAAGAGCACCCCACAGAGAGAACAATGTCTTGAGCTTAAAAGGACAAAGATGGCTTAGTTTCTTGAGGTTTCTGGGTTTTGTCTTCCTTTCTAAGATCCGTTTGATTGTTCTTGGTCTGTAATCTTTGTAGGTTTGATAAAAAGGGAATGGAGAAGAGAGAAAGAGGTTTCTATAAAAATCTATCGACTCTGTTTCTCTATCTTTGTTTTGAGCGTTTCTCCTTCTTCCCCGCCTCTCTTTACTCAAACTTCCAATCAAATGTGTGTTATATATTTTTTTACCTACAAACGTTTTTTTTTTGTTAATAACGATTTCGTTTTTTTACACAAGAAAACTAGAAGATGTTATTAAAACTAGATTATATGTGTTTCTTATGTTTTTAATACGGAATTTTTGTTCTTAAATGGACTTTTCTTTTCAATACTTGTAGGAAAATGTAAAATAGTGTCCGATTTGTTTTCAATATATAACGAATGTAATTTTATCGATAAAAGAGAATGTGATATATATATGTATATAAGTATAACATACAACTACAAGTCTTGATCCTAATTCCAAACTGATGAAGAATATGGAAGTCCAGTGACTTAGTTTCAGAACAAAACAGATCTTGTTGTTTACTAAATTACAAAAGATTTCATACACATTCACGAAGACTTACTCTTTTGCTAAAACGGGAAATGCTTATTGTTCTTCCACACATGTAGGATGAAGGTCATAGTCGCAAGCATCGCAAGAAAACGCCCAAAACCTACCTTGTTTCTTGCAGAAATCGCACACATAAGCTTTCGCCATATCCAGCTTTAGCTCATGTTCATGCTTCTTATCCTTCACTTTCCTTGGCAACGAATCGCCTTCTTTCTTCAAACAAGCTTTTAACTCAGCGATCCTCGATTCTGTGAAAGGAAAACTCCTCGATCCATACAGCGATACCATCTCTCTCGCGTTTATGGTCACCGTTTTCTCTTCGGGTCCTATGATGACTAATGCAGGTATGAGTTTGATGTTGAAGATTCTACAAAGATCTTGGCGTGTTCTGTCCGCGTAAGGTATTGCAAGCCATGGCATGTTGGCCATGTTGATGTTGAACTCTCTTGAGTCTCTGTCTGTTGAGACTAAAATCACTTCGAAGTCCCCTTTTGTGGCGGTTGCAAGCTCATCATACACATCGATGAGCTGAGAAGTGAAAGATCGAAAAGGCGGACACCAATGTGCACCAAAGTATAACCCAATGGTCTTGCCCACAAGTTCAGAAACTAGTACCTGCATAAATGGTTATATGCAAAATAAGGATCATTTTATCCGACCAGAGATACTTAAAGTCTATAAGTCAGTTTCTTTTTACCTTACTTCCATTTCTGGAAACAACGTAATTCCGGGATTCATGTGTAAGGAGTTTCTCCAACTGTCCTCCAATGCGTTTGGAGTCATCGATGGCTTTGAGTTCTTCTTTTCTCTTTTTCGTGAAAGGAAATGCTTCGGGACCATAGTCTTCAATTAGACCAATTACATCTTCAGCGACCGAGATTTCATCTGGATACAGAGGAACCAGTGACGGGATACGAGCAATCCTGTACTTGTCCCTTAATTTGTTGCGCAGGCTTAAATTGAAGGGAACTGCGAGCCATGGCATGCACCAGAAGTGTTCATAGAACGAAGTCATATCATGATCAAATGAGACAAAGATGATCTCGAGTTCTTCTCCTCGTTTCTGAAGATTCCCATAGAGTTTCACCAGCTCTGGAGTGAAGTCCTTGCAAGGCCTGCACCAGTTTGCAGAAAAGAAGAGACTAACCGTCTTCCCGTGAATATATTCCAGTGGCACCTGATTGAATTGAGCTTATATAGTTAAGTAAAAGTGTCTAGACGGATATATCAAAACACATTGCTAAACAATAACGAGTGATTATCGGTACCTCTCCACTATGCGACAAAAGAAACTCAATCCCTTCAGCTGCTAGTATAGAGTAAAGATCACCACTTTCAGGAAATTGGACTTGATAATCTGCTAATACTGCCATCTAAACTGCAACACCACAATCTTTATGCTTCTTCTGCTCAGAAAATTTGATAGAGAAACCTAAACGAATATGAGAACGGACATGCTTCATCAAGAACAAGTCCCTTAGCCTTATTGTAGGAGTAAATGCTATTACATGTTATCCAAAACGAGTCAAGTGAATTCCAAATCAAAAGGCTTCTAAAGAAAAGAGCACATGCGCTGTGATTAAGTATAACTCATGAAGACTGAGATGTTGTAAAACAGCTCTACAGTTAAACCTGAGTTTTTTCCACCTGGTGATTAAGAGACCCGATGGTCCATCTTCATATGAACATATGAGATGATCAAACATACAGACACATCAAGAATAGTTTCAAAACATCAGAAACCCAGAACAAAAACTTGAAGGAACATACAACTGAAATACAGACCATGAATAACAGGTTTTACAGACGATGAACTGTATCAAAAGACGTGTTGAGGAAAAGTAGCAAGCGAAACTCAACATACCTGATACCAGAGAGCGATAGTGATAAAAACTTTGATACGAGGAAACTACAGAGAAAAGAATTTCAATACAGAGTAGATTGTAACAAGATTTCACCACAGGTCTAATTCTGATAGATTTTCTTCTCGGTTGATCAAAGCTTGTAAATTCCAAGAAAAATGGATAAAGGAAAATCACATGGGGGCAAGAAAATATAAACAGAAAATAAAAGATATAATAAACTTTATTAAGGTCTCTATCAAACGAACAAGTAAAAAATGTAAAAATCAAAATATCGTCAAAGAATATACCATCTACAACGTTACCCAATAGCTAAAGCAACAACAAACTTGTGAAAACCATAAATTTTATATTCTTGCTTATCTCAACACTGCATCAGAAAGTGGAGGACAACTTGAAGAAGATATTGACGGAAAAAAAGAAGACATGTTTTTTGCGTCTAAATGATACCAAACAATGGCACGAATATTCACAAAATGAAATGTG